CCCAGCACCATTAGGCGATCAACGTTGAGTTGCACATCTAAGCGTTCAACTGAATGAAGATGCTTCTGAGCTCCTCCGTTTTTGAACCACAGCCAGAAATTCTCAACATCCTTCAAGATATCTAGCCCTTTGACTTCGGGAAGGAGTCTGTAATTGGGGCTAATGATGATAGCGTCATGCAACTCTGCGTAATCTAATATCCAATTGGTGAACCAAGCAGGAAATAAACTTGAACCTGTTATCTGTATAGAATGAAGCTATGTCAGTAGTCTTCTTGTACTTGTTTGGCTCACAAAGACACAACGTACCAGAAAACCTCCATGGATTCGGACTATGACCGGCCTGGGACTTGAACTTTTCTTTGACTTTGGTACGATTATATCCACTCCAATGTCAAAGTTCGCACTGGGATAGGATGCGCGATAGATGCTGAACCTGTTGAACTTGGAGGGCTTCTCAGAAAGAAGTGCTTCCATAAGCTTATTGAACTGGGTTTTACGTTTGTCGTCCGCATCGGTAGGCATATCCGCAGAGTCCATTGCTGGCGGCAGAGTAGAGTAGAATGCAAATATTGCTTTAACAATTGTCTGGTTTGGCAGATTCTTATGGGAATGGCAGTAATTCAAATGATAAAGTGCAAAGGTTGAACTTTGGCTGCATCAGCAAAGGCTGATAAGGCCGAATGAGTGCTTTAATAGGTTCATCCAGGGAACAGAGATGCATTTCTCCAATTTAGGTTAATTCGTGTTCAGTGGAGCTAGTCACTGTGATCCTGAGACTCTCGAACCTGCCGCGATAACGGCATTTCACTTCTATCTATAGTTAATGTAAGCCTCAGTAGCTTTAGAATCAATTTTATTTGAGGTAGCAGCCCATCAGTGACATGAATTCTAAAGACTACTCGAACCCACTAATTTGTAAAGCTCTGTCTCAACCCTCTCCGAACATTCGATTACATAAGGATCTTGCGTACCTCACGATCAGTAAAACCGATATTAAGGAGGAGAGGCATCGAGAACTTACCTCCAAAAGGTGCAATTTGCGTGGCAATGAGACCACCAAGCTTATTTTTTCTGTCAGCGAACCAGTAAAGGTTAGCCAACCCTTCCCAAGAGCCGCTCCCAGAGGCTCGGCCAGTTGGTGACTGCCAGTGGCTTAACGAAAACGACAGACCCCATCCTTCTGTGTGATTTTCTGGCATGGGACTCAGAGGGGTAGGTCGCGCCAAATTCGGTTTAGAAACCGGGACGAACTCGTTGGAAAAACGCGGCTTGTCAACAATTTGGTCGCGAAACATTTCTAATCACATCTTAGTAACAATACGAGTGTTTCGCTTCCGCTATCCACTTTTCTTACCTTCCACAGTACTGGTTTTAAGAAGCTGGGCGCCCGTTTTTGCATCAGTTCCATCGTTCAAAAGCAGTGCAATGATACCTAAGAGGCCTCCAGTCAACAATCGTTCTAACCTTTAACTTGGAGAACACCTCATGGCAGTTGAACTTACGAGCATAATCTGCGGGCTTCCCAAAGCATCCATGCCCACCTGCACAGTAAATCTGCTCTCTTTCCTCGTCATTTTTAGCCATCAGAGGCTTTTTGTAGATGTGGTCGATTTCGTAAACATTGTCGTTCAAATCACGCTGGTGCATGTGAGCTAGCCCGGATTTTGCCTCATCGGATGGCCTGAAGGAGATGCTCGTGATGTTGAGAGGCCCAAGAATGTAGCTTTGAAAATATGACTCGAGCGAATGACCGCTAACGCGCTCTATTATGATTCCAACCCAGTCCATGGAAGTACCATATTGAAATGTTGTACCTGGTTGATTTACCAGAGGTCGATTGATGGTGTCTAGCCGGTCACATGAGAAATCATCAAGCCCAACGGGGCGAGAAACTTCGGCTAATTTGGAATCCTCGAAGGCATACCCAAAGCCAGCTGCATTTTTGCATCCAAAAGTAAGCTTTGGTGAGAAAAATGCAGAGCAAACGCTTGAATTTCGATGTTGAGGAGACACGTACCGGTATGGTTAAGCAACATGCGCAAAGTGATTCTCCCCTCCTTCTCGACATATTCAAATCCATCTTCAGGGGTTCTTTGGAGTACCTTAACGTCGCGCAGCTCAGGGGCCAGTGTCTCTAAGTGCTCTGCATCGTCCAAAAGCAGTAAGCCACGTTCCACGCACTGCATGCAAGCGATAGATGTTATAAGCTTGGTAAACGACACCAGCCAGAACGTCGTATCCAACGTCATTGGCAAATTGCTGGAAAGGCCCTTCTTGCCAGAGGCATGTTGAAATATTGGCACGCCATCCTTTCCAACAGCACAATAGACAATTCCAGGTATTCTCTGCTTGTCTCCAGAAGTATACTCGTCGATAATGGACTTCATTACAAGTCCCACATTATGCGTTGACATTTTGAGTGGTGATGAGACAGAAACCTTAGGTAAGGTACTACTACAGACCTGTGCAAGTAAACGCGGCGTGCAGACGTTAGCTACGTTGAGATGTCTTAATGTAGCCCTTAGTTTCGGTGGGTAGACAGCATGTGTGTGGCGTGAATGAGGTGCGAAGAGACAGACGAAGTCACATTCCCTCTTTTGGTATAATTAAGGTTCATATAACCAGGTTCGGAATTGTGGACCCGTGTATTATGGTACGGGTATTTCTGATGCCGAGTTGCTTCCTGTCGTCGGAAGATTTGTCTAAGAAACTCTCAGGCTTCTGATCATTGTGTTACCTACCTCTCAAAATCACAACCATAAGAAATTTCAAACTACCGTCCGCCCGCAGACATGGCGCCGTTTACGGAATACAGATGGATTCAAGGTCCTGTGGGGGAAATGCTCCGCTCGTCGTCGCTTGCCACCACCGCCACAGTGCCTTTGCAAGGGCATCTTGTCGTCACAACAGGGCATGTTGGGGTCGACCTAAAAAGCGGCCAACTCGTGCAAAGCTCAATTGTCGACGAGTTCCACGCCATTTTTAATTGTCTAGATGCAGCACTTCAAGATGCAGGAGTTAAGACTGGCCTCGCAGGAGCACATAAGGTTGTGGCTTACTTCACACGGGCAGAAGACGAGGCTACAATGCTGGAGCTCTTTCGAGGAAGATATCCTGGCCATTCACCGACGTGGACATCAGTAGTTGTTGCGGGTTTAGTGGTGCCTGGCATGCATGCGGAAGTTCAAGCCGAAGCTGTCCGGTTTGACTAATTGAAAGGGGCAATTTCATAATGTCATAGTCGGAAGCTCATTCTAGGGGTGAGATAGGTTGAGATTGAAGCAGGGGTTAATAGGCCGACAGTTTTCTAGGATTCAACAGTGACTCTCAATTTCTCATTCTCTATCAGGCATGTTTCTGTAGGGGTTCTTAGGATCCGCCTTTTCCTCCTCGACTGTGGGAAGCTTTTTGATCACCTTTGCTGGGGCGCCGACAGCGACAGAATAAGGTGGTATGTCCTTTGTTACGATGGATCCTGCTCCAATGGTGCTTCCTTTCCCGATTGTTACCCCTGGAAGGATAATGGTGCCTCCACCAACCCAAGCGTCGTCCTCAATCCGGATAGGGGTACCGAACTCCACAAACTTGATTCGAGATAGCACACTGGTCTCATGTCCAGCAGTATATATGCTCACGTTTGGTCCAAACTGGACACGGTCGCCGATAATAACCAAGCTTGTGTCAAGAATTGTGCAACTGTCATTTGTCAGAAACATTACCTTCAGGGGCTAGGTTGTTTGAGCATACTTGAAGTTGATGAAACAGTTCTCGCCTACGATCACATTGCATCCATAGTCTGGCACGAAAGGTGGCTCAATAAAAGTCCCTTTTCCCACCTTACCAAGAATGCCTTTCATCATGTCTTGTTGCAAGTTCATCAACTCGTCATAAGGCTTCGAGCTGGGGTCTAGCGTGTTGTATTTGTGTACAATACAACGAGCTTTGTGACGTCCCTCAAGCAACTTGGGATGGAGAGGGATGTACCTACTCCCCCGTAAGTACGTGCCATAAAACGGAGCCGAATAGTGCAGCTAACTCACAACATGCCCGAGATCATCTTTTCGTACTCTTCGCACCAAGGAGTACCTTGTAGATCGCGTGCAAGCTCGATTATTTTGGTGTCTTTGCTCGTTGTCGCCATGGTTGGAGTTTGATTCAATAGGTACGTAATACAGTGACTTGCAGTAATAAGAATCTTCACACCAGATAGGAAGTAGAGAAAAAAAAAAATACATCGCTTTATACCCTAGCTGACTTACTTTACTTACCCATCTTTTCCATGTTTTGCCGCACCAGGGAATTCGAGTCCAGGTGCTGTCTCCAGGACCAGACCTAAATTTCCTAAACAGGAGAAATTACTACTTTCGCCGAATGAGGAGATCCGCTTCACAACGGATCCAACTTTAAGCCCCAAGGCCGTTTAGCGTACCTGATCAAGATAAGTATTGACGAATGACATCATCCTACGTTCGCCCCACCACACTCCCTCCTTTGGAGATAACAACGCCTGAAGCAGTAGACAGACCTAAAGTCAACTGCTGATAGGACTAAGTATGGCAGCTGTCAGAGAAGAAACACACACATGGGTAGACGGGAAAGTAGAAGCGTAGAATAGAACTTATCGAAGAGTTTATGATCCTCGAAAGGAATTTGGGTTTGATAACCAGCAATTGAAATGCCTGTCAGTGGCTATGGCAGTTTTTCTGTGACAAATCGCAAGTATTCCAATATCCAAATGTATGCATACCATGTACAGTTTGCTCTGCATCAAATGCTTGATCAGTTCTCCGCAAGACCAGGATCAAGGCTCCACGATAAGCTCGAATCTGGGGAAAGTGGGGAAAGCAGAGGAGGTTCCGGGGCTTCCCCATCTCTTGGTCAGGAGGGTGTCGGGCATACGGAACTATGGTTCTGCACTACAGATGCAATGGGAATTCGGCTTTGCTTTTATCTGTTTGATGGGTCTTTGAAGGTTCTATCAGTTAAGAGAAACCAGGCATGATACTCTCTGAAATCAAGGCGGGCAAGTGAACAGCGAGTTGAAGTACTAATAAGACTGCCAGTCGGTTGTCAATAGTTCAAGACAAAGACTCGCAGTTCTCCTCTATCCCATCACTTCGAGTCTGGCAGGTTTTGACCGACCGCTTAACTCATATCAAAAGCAGTTCCACTTGCCACCTTAGGCGATAAGGTGCGTCTGTCACTTGGAATACATATTCCATTCCAAAACACTAGTCAGCAACTGACCACCGTTGCACAGTCACCTAACTCTCAGTCACTCCATCATCGAACCATCAACCACATCATATCGAACGATAAAATGGATCCCGAAGTTGAACGAGATATCAACAAGACCCAGAAGTCTACCTCAGTCCCCAGCGATGCACAGTCTGCAAAGTTGGGCGATTTGTACGACCTTGACGATGCCATTCTTCGTGCACAGGGCCATGCTCCTGTCTTAAAACGAACATTCAATATGCTTGGTACACTTGGTCTCGGGTTCAGGTCAGTCACATATCGACTATCTTCCTACACCGCTCTGTTTACACCGCTCTGTGTTGTGGACAAACCTTCAAAACCATACCAGTTGTTAACTTTGTCGTTTCATGTAGTATCACCAACTCCTGGTTGTCATATGCCAGCTGCTTTGGACAGAGCATGGTCTATGGCGGACCACAAGCAACCGTATTCGGACTCATAGTGGCCTGTTTCGTGCAATGGGCCGTCGCGGCAGGAATGGCTGAGCAGGCCTCGGCGTTCCCTTCTTCAGGAGGTATGACATTCTAAACCATCATCTGTCAATCCGTAAGCTAATCAACTATTGAACAGGCCAATACCATTTTACCTTTATTCTGGCCCCCGAAAAACACAAAAAGTTCGCCGCTTTCTCCGTTGGCCTACTCAGCGTCATCGGCTGGTGGGTGATTACCTGCTCCGGATTATCCAATAACGTTCAGTCAATCATGGGTATGGCCCAGTTCATGTATCCGGACTTTGAACCTCAGCGATGGCAATCATATCTGCTTTATCTTGGACTTCTCTTATCGACCCGTAAGCCCACTTTGAAGACTATCGACTTGAAAAATCTCTAATTCAACCAATTAGTTATACCCATCTTCACGATACCTCAACGCCATATTGGAAAATGGACCACCACCTGCCTGTTACTCTCGATTCTGGGCTTTATCATAGTGACAGTTGTTATCTTGGCCATGTGCAAGTCTTTTCAGCCTGCCAGCCATCTCCTCGAGTTTAGAGGGGCTAGCGGGTGGCCGGACGGAATGGCCTGGTTCATGAGTATTGGGAATGCCATGTACGCTTTCGCGAGTCTCGATGCTGTCGTACACATTGCAGAGGAGATGCACCATCCTGGCAAGGAGATCCCTCGCGTAATGTGAGTCAAATCAGCGTAACCCCTCGAGTGCTTTGACGCCGGTATGACTAACAATGATGTATAGCAACCTGACTTTATTGATTGGTCTTTTGACATCGGTACCATTCATTATATCGTTAATGTTGGTTATTAAAGATGTTGACAGTGTTCGGTCTGCTATCCTCCCAAGCCTTGAAGCATTCCATCAAGCAACCGAATCCAAAGCAGCTGCTCTAGGATTGCAGATACTGCTCACTGTGCTATTTTACAGTACGTATCGTATCAAACATTAAAACATTAGAGTTGGATGGTAGCAAAACTGACATTTGTTACTGAAGCATGCATGCCTAGCCAGTGGATAACATGTGGCCGGTTGGCTTGGGCCTTTGCTCGAGATGTGAGTCGCACTCAACCCAAAGGGCAAATCACGCAAAACGTACGAAATGTTGACTTGCATGTAATTAGAACGGTTTACCATACTCGGACTATTGGACAGGAATCCACTCATACTATGAGTTTCCGGTTCGAACTACTCTTCTCTCGGCAGCTTTCTGTGCAATTTACGGGCTGCTATACGTGGCAAGCACACAAGCTTTCAACTCTATTATCACTGCCGCTGTTTTAGTTATCAACATATCTTACATTGTGCCGCAGGCTATATGTCTCATTCAAGGCAGAGCCAAAAAGTTGCCAAGTCGTCCTTTTAACTTAGGCATCTTGGGATATGTTTGCAATTCATTTTCTCCGGTTTGGATTACCGTGATTGGGATAGTAATCTGTTTCCCTAATATTCTACCAGTGACTGCTGCTTCAATGAACTAGTAAGTTATTTTGGTCAAACACCTACCTTTTGTATCCAACTATACTAACACCCATCTAGTGTATGCGTGGTTCTCGGCGCAATCAGTATCTTTGTAGTTGGCACGTGGTACTGGATCAGAAATCAGTTCGAAGGGCCCCAGATTGATTGGGACTTGCTGGATGGCTCGAATGCGGTTAACAGTTAATTCTTTTGAAATCCAAGTCCAAAATTTTTGGGTC